TTATTAAAGTTCCGGATTTGCTCGTGACCAATTGTTATCAGCTTGCCGGGCCCTGGGGGACCAATGTTATTAGCTTTCCGGGCCCTCGGTCGTTCGGGAACTTATGGGACGTATTTTTCAACAGGGCTGGGGGGGGGGGGGGCAGGGAATGGTGAGCAACCGAAACGTAAAGGGTTAATGCAGACCCTTTATTTCTTCATGTTAGGGCGGGCGGGTTTTTGTCTAAGCCCATGCTCTGCACGTCCGAGTGAAAAATGCACGATGGTTCATGGGGGGTAGATAACTCGGGAAACCTTAGGCCTTCGGGCAGCTTAGGGCGTAGTGGGGAGTCTTAGGGAACCTTGGGTCTAAACCCTAAACCCTAAACCCTAAACCCTTAACCCTTAACCCTAAACCCTAAACCCTAAACCCTGAACCCTTAACCCTAAACCCTAAACCCTAAACCCTTAAGAACCCTATAATGCGAGGTGGTCTGCTCTGGGAAGCATCCTGCGCTCACCACGAAAGAGCTCCGCGAAGTGCCCTCAGCTCAGTAGGGTTTAGGGTTTAGGGTTTAGGGTTTCGGGTTTCGGGTTTCGGGTTTCGGGTTTGGGGTTTAGGGTTTGGGGTTTGGGGTTTGGGTTGAGGGCTATGTCTTCCAGAACCCCAAACCCCAAACCCCAGTTCCAACCCTAAACCCTAAACCCTAAACCCCTTCACCCCCCCCCCCCCCCCCCCAAACCTCTCAACCTTAACGGCCCACGTGAAGGCTCAGGGCATTGAGTAAGTAGGTTGCTCAGCCCTATGTGGTTTTGAGTCGGGTCAGATCCGCGTGGGGATTCACAAGCTTCGGGTTCAAGCGTTCAGGATGAGACCGTAAACGAGCCGGTTAGGGGGTTTGGCGTGTAGGGCGGTGTAGGGATGTCTGGGTTCAGGGTTTCGGGTTTAGGGTTTAGGGTTTAGGGTGTACGGTGTTTAGGGATGTATGGTTGTCTATGGGCATAAGGTAAGTCGGTTAACGGCCACCCTTTCTGGAGCTCGTTTGGAGCCCTCAATTCCCACCCCGCCTCCTTGAGCCCTGCCCACTGGCACCCGATGATGTATAGCAGCCCCAAACTCTAAACCCTAAACCCTAAACCCTAAACCCTAAACCCTAAACCCTAAACCCTAAACCCTAAACCCATAAGTTGGGATGTTCCCCCCTTATGGTGGTGGCCGGCAGCCAAGCAGGGGCAGGAGCCGGCAGATGCCCAGAAGCTGGCAATGGCACAGCGCATCCTGTCCGTGCGATCGTTTAGGGTTTAGGGTTTAGGGTTTAGGGTTTAGGGTTTAGGGTTTAGGGTTTAGGGTTTAGGGTTTAGGGTTTAGGTTTTAGGGTTTAGGGTTTTGGCAGACACAGAGCCTCTGGAGCTGTCGCCAGATGATTGCGAAGTCGCAATCATCGCCGTGGAGCGTCACTGCTTGGCTGCTGGCTGGAGCATGGGGCAGATCAAAGACAACATGCGGGCCGTGTTGGCCTTAAGAGGGATTCCCTAAACCCTAAACCCTAATCCCTAAACCCTAAACCCTATATCAGGGCGCCTAGAAGGGGCCCGTCATGTTATTCCCCCTATAGGACCCTGTAGAACCCCCATCTAGTTCCTCTATACCTAAGTAGCCCCAAGGTAGCCCCTAAGGTCCCTGGTCCCTCCCTGAGTCAAGCTTGACTAAACCGCAAACCCTCCGCTGAGCCCACCCGGGTTCTGAGCTTAGGCTTAGGTTTAGGGCCTTAGGGTTTAGGGTTTAGGGTTTAGGGTTTAGGGTTTAGGGTTTAGGGTTTAGGGTTTAGGGTTTAGGGTTTAGGGTTTAGGGTTTAGGGTCTTAGCAGGCTTGAAGGGGTTGTGCTTTTTAGGCTTTAGGGTTTCAGCCCTTAGTGGTTTAGGGGCTTCGTGGAGTTTGTCTCCTAGTATGGCCCTAATATTTCCCTTGGAGGATCTTGAAAAGGGTTCCCAAACCCAAGGGTACAAAGGGTCCAAGGTAGGACCCCTAGATTTTGTAGTTTAGTTTTCGGTTTGGGGTCAAGGCTCGAAGATGTGGGCATCTACGACGAGGTGTGGCTACTTTGGGCATTCGTGTGGCTTGTCTTGTGGGTTGAGTGTTTGGGTCCTGGCGATTGAGGGTGTGGGTTTTGGTGTGAAGGGTTTGGGTGGAGGGTTAAGGGTTTAGGGTTTAGGGCTTGCGGCAGGTTGGACTCGGTCTGGCGCAGATGTTTTGGACGATAGGGTCCTTAAGGGTTAGGGTTTAGGGTTCACGGTTTCGGGTTTAGGGTGCAGTTGCATGGTCCCTGAATATGGTCCTTACGCTTCAAAGAGTTCTGAAGTATGGGCCCTTGGGACCTGGGGCTGTATAGGGCATATAAGGGGTATATGAGGGGTCCATTTTGAGGGCCCATACTGAGAGATCTTGTAACTACTACCCTGAGAGCAAAGCAGTTTTGGACTTGGAGCCTAGGTTAAGATACTCCTACCCCAAGCTAAGGCCCTCCTGACTCTACTTTTACCTAGGGCCGAAGCCCGACCCTAGACCCTAGACCCTAGACCCTAGACCCTAGACCCTAGACCCTAGACCCTAAACTCTAAACCCTGAACCCTGAACCCTGAACCCTAAACCCGCAGAAAGCAAAATCGACTTGGATAATGGGTTTCTTGACTCGGCGTTTAAGTCGGCCTTACTTGGGTAAGGTTCTCAAGGAAGGTTTAGGGTTCAGGGTTGAGGGGATGGGGTTTAGGGTTGAGGGTTTTGGGTTTCGGGCTTGCAGGGAACGCCAAAGAATTCGTGTCTGGGCCGAGACAGGAGCAAACTCCCGAAGAGCTTGCAGAGCGAATTCTGGGCGAGGCGCTGCCATTCAGGGTGGTCTCGTGGGGTTGTTAGGATTGCTGGGTTGTTAGGGTTTGGTTTCAGGGTCGGGGTTAGGGTTTAGGGTTTAGGGTTTGGGGTTAAAGGGTTCATTGTTTAGGGTTCAGGGTGTAGCATTGGTCAGCTGAATGCACTAGTGTGTGCAGACATGCCCACCTCAACACCGCCCACACTCTACCCAAAACGAGCCCAACCAGAGACAGCCGAACCAAAGCCGGTCGTTTTGGCCGGAGGGCCTTCTCATTGCTTTTCTTCTCTACGCCGGAGTGTCAAGGCTGAATGACGAAAGACTTGCTGCTACGAAGATGCCTTGTGAAAGTCAAAAATAGAAGCTTCCAAGAGACACATTTGGTTTTGCGTTGAGGGGGGGCATCTCCTGATCCTTGCCCAACAGCACGCGTGGGCATCCTGGATCTAGGGTTTAAGCGCCTGCTTACTGGGAGGGTTTAAGGTTCCCCTGCCTACTAGAAGGGTTAAGGCCCGTTACTGAGAGTTTAAGGCTTATTGAGAGGGCTAAAGGCCCCCCGCCTACTGAAAGGGTTCAACCTCGGGCGAGTAAACAAGCTCGGGGCCTCGGGGCGGGGGGGGGGGCTTGATAGGGACTGTGCTTGGCGACCAAGCTTGGTCTCGCTGGCGTTCGGAGAGGGGTGGTGGGCGGTTTTCGGGTGAACCCAATCTAAGAAAGAACAAGAAGCACAAACAAAACGTTAAAGACAAAGCCGAAAAACCAGCCGGTAGCCCTGGAACCTCCAGCTCATCAGCGGCCCATCAGCTGAACAAAGTGACATATTGGCTCGCTTGGTGTTTCGGGCTTAGGGCTTAGAGTTCAGGGTTAAGGGCTTGTCCCTGCACCCGAAACCCTACGTGACGCCAAATCATAGCAACGACTGACGATTCCCTAAACCCTAAACCTTAAACCCTAAGCCCTAGACCCTAAACCCTAAACCCTAAACCCTAAACCCTAAACCCTAAACCCTAAACCCTTTTGCAGGTGGCCCAGCCCCCCTCCTCCACCGCAGACGGCAAAGGCCCAGCCAAGCGGTGGAAAAGAGCGACGATGCTTCGGGGCTTCGGGGTTTAGGCAGGGTTTAGGGGTTTTATGAGGGTTTTATAGGGTTTTATAGGGGTTTTATAGGGTTTTATAGGGTTTTATAGGGGTTTTATAGGGTTTAGGGGTTTTATAGGGGTTTCGGGTTTAGGGTTTAGGGTTTATAGGGTTTAGGGGTTTTCTAGGGTTTTGGGGTTTAGGGGTTTCTAAGGGAAGATGCATGGTCCCTTAATATGGCCCCTTGCCTCCTTTAAAGGGTTCTGAAAGTGTGGGAGCTTGGGTTGAATAGGGTATATATGGGGTACAGAGGGGTCCCCATGTATGTTAAGAACCCCATGTAGCTACTGCAAGAGGGTTTAGTGTTTAGACATGGAGGCTAGTGGTTGGCAAGTGCGGGTGCTTCAGATAGCAAGTTCAGGCATCTAGGCCGGTTTTAGGACAGTCTAAACCTAAACCCTAACCCCTAAACCCTACCACCAAAACGCCCAAGGCTTGAACTGCTGCAGTTTCTGAACCAAGCGTTCTTGCAGCTTGTGCGCCGTTTCGTTCCAGCGCCCTCCCCTTGCCAAGCATGGGCTGCGCGTCGTCCACGGCGGAGATCCCCATCGAGCTGAGCGCAAATCCTGACATCGATAAGCTGAAGGAGGGGTCCTTAGGGGTTTAGGGTTTAGGGTTTCGGGTTTAGGGGTTTACTTGAAGGTTTAGGGTTTAGGGTTTAGGGTTGAGGGTTGAGGGTTGAGGGTTGAGGGTTTACTTGGAGGTTCATGGTACTTATTAACCAGATATAGCTGTACTTCTCACCCACTTATAGGCCCCTTTTAGGTGCCCGAATATGGTTGTAAGTACCGTTAGAAAGTACGGTTATAATTGGCAAAAAAGTACCATGAGCCTCCTCAAGTAGAGGTTTCCGGGTAGGGCGTTTTGAGTAGGAGGCCCCTTTCATTCAAAGGGGACCCTGCGGTGGAACTACAGGGTTTAGGGTTTAGGGTTTAGGGTTTAGGGTTTAGGGTTTAGGGTTTAGGGTTTAGGCTTCTGCGAGGTGTTCGACTCGAAGTTCGTCGTCCCGGAGGGCAAGAACATGATGCTGCGTCTCAAGGCAAAAGTCTTCTCTTTCAGTGGAGACAGCTACAAGATGCTTGTTGAGGCATTTAGGGTTTAGGGTTTAGGGTTTAGGGTTTAGGGTTTAGGTTTAGGGCTTAGGGTTTAGGGTTTAGGGTTTAGGGTTTGGGGTTCCAGGAGTCCTGTGTCTTTTGGGTTGTCGGGGTTGGATACTTAGAAGGCAGAGCCGCAAGTGCGCGTTTAGGGTTTAGGGTTCAGGGTTCAGGGTCTAGGGTTTAGGGTTTAGGATTTAGGGGTTAGGGGTTAAGGGTTGGGGTTTAGGGTTTAGGGTGCTAGAGTTGGAGGTGGGTCATCTTGCCGCTTACCAGAGGTGTTGCTTCTGTGATCAGGTTTTGCAAATCAAGGACATCGGGCCGCCCCTGACAACCCTTCTTCTTCTTCTTCTTTTCTTTTTTTTTTTTTTGGGGGGGGGTAGGGTTTAGGGTTTAGGGTTTAGGGTTTAGGGCTACTAGGACCCAGAGTAGGCCCTTATTCCCTTTTCTAGGGCTCCGGTTCCCGTATAAGCCCCTTTGAGCCACAGCGAGGGCACTCTACTTCTTCCTACGTTCCTTCTGGGTCGTTTTTAAATAAGATGACAGTGCAAGAGTCGCGTACATGCACGACAAGACTTGAAAAGGTCGGGGGTGGGTCAATGCCAAGCCTTGCAGCTGTTTTTTCCTGGAGTCCACGATCTTACTTTATCCAACGTGAGGGAAACGGACAGGAAACGCTCGCCAACGCAGCATAGAGGGCCCGCGACGACCAACACACACTGCTGTGCCTTCCATTCCAAGCCCGAAACTCGAAACCCGACCTTGCGCCCCCCGAAACCCTCAACCAAGGATTGTCGATGCAAATGACTCCGGCAAGGTGATGTTCCAATGCCAGGGCAAGTTCCTGAACTTTGACGAGAAGCGTGTGATTTGCGACGCTGGGGGAACTCCACTCTTCGTTATCAAGGACTTCCTATTGGTTAGTAGGGAATGGGGGAATGAGGTACCCTATATAATCCCTTAAAGGGTATGCAGAGGGGGATATATGGGGTACCTCATTCCATCATTCCCTACTCACCAACAGTAAGAGGAGCCCCTCATGCAGCTCGATGATAAGCAGTACGTGTATGCTGCCGGCCCGGATGGCAAGCCCACAACGGAGATCTTCCGTGTCGGCTCGAACTTTGGTAACACGTCCCTTTGGTAGCCCAGTGGTACCCTTTACCCTGTTTTTGTCGGTTCTGGGTTCCCTTGCTAAAGTAGCCCAACCCCAAAAAAGGGTGCCCTTGTTATAGTATGGCTGCTGGGCTACTGAGGTCCCAGTACACGGAGAACCTGAAGGGTTCCACGGGCAAGCCCATCAAGCTGACCGGCAAAATGACGCTCGTGAGCCTCTTGGTAGCCCGGTGGTACACCTTTTGCCCTTTTTTGTTGTAGGTTCCCTTGTACGGCAAAGTACCCAACCCCAAAAAGGGTACCCTTATTACCAATCAAGGGACTGAAGGAGGGACCCTGTATATGGGGGGTTATATCGGGGAACAAGATGAAGGGTCCATTCTAGGGTTAGTCCTTGGACGAACGGTTTAGGGTTTAGGGTTTAGGATTTAGGGTTTAGGGTTTAGGGGTTAGGGTGTAGGGTTTAGTAAACCAAGGCATGAAGGGTGGAATTTATTTCGGAGACGCGAAGACGGGGCAGCCCATCGCCAAAGTCTGCAGCCCGGTGACGTACAAGGACAGCCTGCCCGATAGGTGTCAACCCAACACTACGGCAAACTTTGGTCTAGGGTTTAGGGTTGAATTGGGGTTTAGGGTTTAGGGTTTAGGGTTTAGGGTTTGGGGTTTAGGGTTCAGGGTTTAGGGTTTAGGGTTTAGGGTTTAGGGTCTAGGGTCTAGGGTCTAGGGTCTAGGGTTTAGGGTTTAGGGTTTAGGACTCCTGCAAAGCTTGTAGGGGTGTAGGGTTGGGCGAACGGGTGTGGAAGGACTTCTTGCCTGATGACTTCGACCGCAACGAGTACCTGGTGGAAATCCCACCAGGTGTGGACAGCGCGCTTGTGCTCGCCATGGTTCTCGCATATGAGCAGATGGAGCAGACGTACGAGCAGGGGAACGACTATTGAGACTTGGTGATCTCGAGTTAACAAGGCTCCTGCCGGTATTGCCCCTAAACCCGAAGCCCCGCACCCTTAACCCCCAAACGCCTCAAGCCTCAACCCTCTGCACAAAAGCATCCCTAAACATTAAACCCTAAACCCTAAACCCTAAACCCTAAACCCCAAACCCCAAACCCCAAACCCCAAACCCCAAACCCCAAACCCCAAACCCCAAACCCCAAACCGGCGTCCCGAGGAGCCACCCCCGCCTGGCCGGGTAAGCCAGAAAGTCTCGCGCAGCTTCACCCGGCCTGCACAGAGCCTTGGGGACGAAATGAAGCCTAGAAGGGTTTAGGGTTTAGGGTTTAGGGTTTAGGGTTTAGAGTTTAGGGTTTAGGGTTTAGGGTTCATACTTCATGGCAACCCCAATTGTAGGGTTCATCTGGTCCCAAGGAGAAAAGCTGCCGCAGGCCGCGCGGTGCCGCCGCGAGGAACGTTCCTGTTTTACAGCTTGGGCACAGGGTCTCCTGAGGTCCCTCGGACTGCTCGGGATGTGTAGGGTTCAGGGTTTAGGGTTTAGGGTTTAGGGTTTAGGGTTTAGGGTTTAGGGTTTAGGGTTTAGGGTTTAGGGTTTAGGGTTTAGGGTTTAGGGTTCAGGGTTCAGGGTTTGGGGTTTAGGGTCTAGGGTCTAGGGTTTAGGGTTTAGGGTTTAGGGATGTCCCAGGCTATAGAGAATTCGGGGGCTGCAGGGTTGAAGTCTTCATGCGCAGCATGCGATGGGTCCCCCGAGCACCCGGCACCCTGAGCCCAAGAATGTTCAAAGCCGCATGCAGTGCAGTAAACCCCAAGAAGTTGGAAACCTTTTCAAGGACAAATAGTGCTGGGATTCCCTATACTTTACTCTTAGGGATTGAGGCTATTGAGTTTCCAACTTTTTGGCTTCTACTGTATGCTGGTAGCCACTTGAACTACTTGGTGTGCAAGCACCGAACGACACGTTTCACCCTGCACAAATGGAGATTGATTGAATCTCTGCAGCAGAGGCAGGTGGCTGCAACATGTTTCAATGCCCTTTCCCATCCCCCCAGCCGACTTCAAAAGCATAAAACCCTACATCCCTGGACCCTGAAAGCCGAAAACCCGAAATCCTAAACCCACCCCTCCCCCCGCCCCAATGACAGGGGCGATACCTCACCTGCCCCCGCGTCCGTGGTGGCGGTTGGGTTACCGTGTAGTGTAGAGTCTTCGAGTCAGGGTTTTAGGGTGGGTTGGTTTTAGGGTTTGGGCTTAGGGTTCTCCGAGTTTATGATTTAGGGTTTTAGGGCTCAGCCTTTTAGGCCCTCGTTTCAGGGTCTGCGTTTTAGGGTATTAGGGTTCAGTGGCTTTAGGGCTTTACGGTCATGATGCAGGTACTCCCCCCTAACCTCACGCCCAGCCCCTGCGGTGTGGCCGCTCTGGCTTAGGGTTTCAGGGCTTAGGGTTTTGGGCTTGATAGCGTTGTAGGGCTTGTAGCGTTTTAGGGCTTATAGGGTTTGAGGGTTTATAGGGTCTTGGGGGCTTATAGGGTTTTAGGGCTTACAGGGTTTTAGGGCTTATAGGGTTGAACGATATTTTCAGATCAGGGCTTTTACCTAGGGTTTGGGCGTAGGGCTTGAGGGGTTTGGGTCCCAAAGCATACAATTCAGGCCCCCCCCAAGGCCTGAAGAGACCTGCAGATCGGCTCAGATCGGGCCATATGAAGCAGGGTTTACAGTTACCTCCTCCGAATATTAAACAGCCCCTACCCCCGAATATTAAATACCCCCCCCCATCATAGCTATGTTGTAGTGTACCGGGGGTGTATTTAAAAAATAGGGGGTGGGGGGTGGGGGATTACAAGTATTACTCTTATGGGGTCTTTGGCCCGTCCATGAAGAGCACCCATTCTAGTATTGTAGGTAAGGGACGCACGCTATATTATTCTCAATGGTTGCGTTTCATGCGTACGGACACACCACTAAAGCCCAACGCAATATTAAAGTCGTGAGCAAAGCGCGCGTAAACTTGCCTCTGCTCACGCCTTTAGTATTGGATTAACAGGGCTTTTACACGGTTAACCTGGCATGCGATTCCAAGGGTGTGAACGGTTAGACCAAGATATGAGAGTTAGGGTCTTGGTTCGCTCACACTATGAATATTCGCGCGTCCGTGAGCTCCCTTGCAATACTACTATACCCTGAACCCTAAACCCTAAACCCTAAACCCTAAACCCTAAACCCTAAACCCTAAACCCTAAACCCTAAACCCTAAACCCTAAACCCTAAACCCTAAACCCTATCCAAGGAAGGAACAAAGGACGAGTGAATGGGTCAGCGAACAAAAGACCCGTCCAAAAGGCCCGAACTTGAGACAGGATATAAGGTTGCTTTTGAAAATTGGTGAGTGTTTTTATTGGGTGTCATTTTGGGGATACAAGGCATATAAACTCTGCTTCGTATGGTCAGTTCTCAAGAATTATGGTCACTTTTGGACACCCTGGTAGTAGGGGCTGCGATAGAATCGACCCCGAAAAGGGAGCATGATTTTGAGAAGTGACCATGTGTGCCCTAAACCTTAAACCTTAAACCCTAAACCCTAAACCCTAAATCCTGAGAACCCTAAACCCTAAACCCTAAACCCTAAACCCTAAACCCTAAAACCCTTGTCGAAGCCGCATATACGGGACCCTCGGGAACTCCCTTCCCCACGCTCCGCAAGCTTTGCCGATCCGAGCCTCCCAAGCTCTCTTTCTTCAACCTCGGGTTTAGGGTTTAGGGTTTAGGGTTCAGGGTTTAGGCTTCAGGGGTTCATCCCAATCCGTAAACGGCTCGCGGCTCAAGGGCGCCTCTGTTTTTGGGTGGCCCAGGTTCGTGCTGACATGGGTTTTGTGCGCTGCTGTGGGTTCAGGGTTTAGGGTTTAGGGTTTAGGGTTCAGGGGTGCACGAGTCATCCGTGTGCATCTGTTTGGGTTTCGGGCGTAGGGCAGTTGATGCGGCTTTAAGCCTGGGGTTTAGGGTTTAGGGTTTAGGGTTTAGGGTTTAGGGTTTAGGGTTTAGGGTTTAGGGTTTAGGGTTTAAGGCACCGAGAAGTCACCACAGTGCTGCTTCAAGTGGGCCTTACCGGGTTTCTGCCGCTCTTGCTTTTGGCGACTCGCGGCTGCCCCAGCGTTCCCAGGCCCCTGGAAAAGGGTTTAGGGTTTAGGGTTTAGGGTTTAGAGTTTAGGGTTTAGGGTTTAGGGTTTAGGGTTCAGGGTTTAGGGCTTAGGGTTTGGGGTTTAGGGTCTCGTTTCTGGGGGTTTAGGCGTAGGGCTGAGGGGTTGAGGGTTGAACCGATACTCTTGTAGAGCGGCCTTGGTGTGAGCATACAAACCCTAAACCCTAACCCTAAACCCTAAACCCTAAACCTTAAACGCTAAACCCTAAACCCTAAACCCTGAACCCTGAACCCTGAACCCTAAACCCTAAACCCTAAACCCTAAACCCTAAAACCCTAAACCCTAAACCCGCCATCCTCCCCTGGGTAGACTTACTGTGGGCTAGTAGGGAATGAAAGAATGAACTACTATGGTGAGAGTCAGCACACTTCGACATCCCCACACGTCGGCGCGTACTCAAGTCTCGACCTTGCGGTGTCAGGCCGTTGACGCATGTGCCCTTTTTGGGACGTCAGGTTCAAATTTTTGCAGAGCGCTTAGGGTTTAGGGTTTAGGGTTTAGGGTTTAGGGTTTAGGGTTTAGGGTTTAGGGTTTATTGGATTTTGAGTTTAGGGTTTAGAGTTTAGGGTTTAGGGGCTTCCTTTTTCTGCAGCCCACCCATGCTGCGCCCCACCCTTGTTTAATTCAGAGGGGGGGTTTAGGGTTTAAGGTTTAAGGTTTAGGGTTTAGGGTACCCGAAACCCCCTAAACCCAAAGCCCTAAACCCCAAACCCTCTGGAAACCCTGAACGAGGGTTACAAGCGTCACTCTCAGCGCGAGGAAGTGCCATGGCGGGCAAAGTGAAGGCGCAAACGCGCTTTTGGGTGCGGGTGGGTTTAGGGTTTAGGGGTTTACAGAGGGTTTGGGGTTTAGGGTTCAGGGTTTAGAGTTTCGGGTTTAGAGGGTTTACGGTTTAGGGCCGTAGGGTTTAGGGTCTAGGTTTTAGGGTTTTAGAGCTTGCCCTGACACCCTGATAAAGACCCTAAACCCGATAAACCCTATAACCCTAACCCTAAACCCTAAACCCTAAACCCTAAACCCTGAACCCTAGACTCTAAACTCTAAACAAGATCATGCCCTTAGAGTCCAGGGGGTGTGAATAGGACCTCCGTGTTTGAGGGCTTTGCACAGGATCCCTAAGCCCTGAGCCCTAAACCCTAAACCCTAAACCCTAAACCCTAAACCCTAAACCCTAAACCCTAAACCCTAAACCCTAAACCCTAAACCCTAAACCCTAAACCCTAAACCCTAAACCCTAAACCCTACATCTCCCTTTTGGGGGTGTCCTTTTTGCTATCAGGTGCCGTACTATATATCAGGGCCCAGAGTGGGAACCGAATTTAGAGACCCGATCTCCCCTCCCCCCTCTTTGGAGCTCCCTCTGAAACCCTAACCAGAGCTCCTGTAGCCCTAACCCTAAACCCTAAACCCTAAACCCTAAACCCTAAACCCTAAACCCTAAACCCCAAACCCCCAAACCCTAAACCCTAAACCCTAAACCCCTAAACCCCAAAGAGTTGAAAACCACAAGCCTGGAGGCTTCAAACTTTTCAGGGCGACTTGAGCCTTCATTGAGCTTTGGGTGTTTAGGGTTTAGGTCTTACAGGGGTTTAGCGGGGGCTTGACAAAGCAAGCCGAGGATTAGAGGTTTTGTTTTTCCTTTTCTTTTATTGGGGCGGGGGGGTTAGGGTTTAGGGTTTAGGGCTTAGGGCTTAGGGTTTAGGGTTTAGTTTAGGGTTTAGGGCTTAGGCTTTGGGTTTAGGGCAAGGGGGTGCAAAGATGTGAAGTACCTCTCTGACGTAGAGAGCCGCTGCCC